ATATACATTTGTGGATACTAGATCCTAGTTTTGTTAATCATCTTTTAATGTTTTTCTTTTATATCTCTTAACTGGACTAGATCCTGAATTCTTCCAGACTCCTAAAATATCTGACTACAGATCTCCAAACTAAGGTTTTTGATTTCTTCCATCATTTTCATTTGGAATCACTAAAAACTAAACCTGCCCTTTTTCCTGAAACCTTACAAACTGAAGCTGATGGACTTGGTATAAACTTGAGAGATTACCCAATGACATTATCAGAGACATCTTAAACTGCAAAAGATGTTTTGACGCTGACATCTAAAAATCTTCTTAACTTGCTGTCCTCTAACTCAGAAACACGTTTCCAATTTGCTCCAACCATTAACCTTGTTTTTCTTTTGTTTCCATAGAAATGCTTATTAAATACTTGATTGCTTGCTTCCACAATATACACTTGCATCACCACCTTCTAAATCGAACTTAACTGGACTGATTTATTGTCAGGACTAAGAAATGTGTTCTGTGAGATGAAACAATCTACCAAGTCAGCTTCTGGACTATGAAACTACTTTAAGTTTCAAAAGGACTGTGAAACTTTTAGTTTCAAAGGTGGGACTGTGGGAGATCAAAATTGGCCACCTGAAATGTATCTCTTTACCTTGATTATTTTCTCTGACAGACATTTGACCTCTCCTAAACTGCCTAAAGAATTTAACATAGAAGATCTGTTCCAGGAAGGAGTCACTATCATATGATGGCTATAATATAACGTAAAATAGATGTTACAATAGGAAAGGCACCAACAAGCCCATCTTATCAAAAATTCTGTCTCTCCCAGGCCACATTCTCTAGGTGGCCCTGCAAAGAGTTGCCAGATAAACATTTACATTTATAAGGAAAATCTCCATTTGTAAAGGTATCTCCATCTCTGTGCTGGGGGGAAAGGGGGATGGCCTCTCTAGAAACTTATCAGTGTGGAGGATAAGGCCTTAAATTTACATACCCTTGATTACTGTAATTTCTGTCTCCCTTCTGTCTGCCTCCCCACCCCCAACATCCTCCTTTGTCTTTAGCTGAAGATGATATTTAAGATGAGAATCTCTGCCATTGTGTTGAGAAACTCAGTTTCCCTGGTTTCTCCCATGTATACATGTTATTAAACTTGATATTATTTTCTCCTGCTGACCTGCCTTTTTAATTATTTGGCCAGCCATAAGAACCTTAATGGAAAGGGTGGAGGGGGATTCTTCCTCTTCCCCAACAGTGGGGTTAAAGAAATTATCTCTGATTCCCTCCCCTACCCCAACCCTACAGATCAAACAGTTTAATACCAATGAAACACACAATGTAAGTGTAGAAATGAGCTATATATTTTGTGTTGGAACAACTGATGTTTAATTTACATATGTTGACCCACAGAAGACTCTCAAAGCCCAGGGTAAGAATATTATTTTATTTTTGTTTTAATCTCAAGCAAATTGTTTCCACTTAGCACAATCTTTCTCATCAACACCCATGGTAGAATAATAACAACAATAAATAATATATGCCAGGCACTGTTCTAAATGCTTTTCATGTGTTAATTAATTTAAACTATTAATGTATTAATAATGTAATTAATTATTACAATATTATCATTCTTATTTTAAAAAACAGAAAAACCAAGACACAAAGAGGTTAAGTAATCAGCCCAAGTTCCTTGGTATATTGTGATTTATATGAAGAAATATATATTTGGTTTTTGTCCTTATTTGTGGCACAAAGCTCCTAAAACTCTTAGAGATGCCTAAGTAAAAAGAGAAATAAAGGTGACTTTTGTTATGTTAATGAGGCTACTTTGAGACCACATCAAAGGATGGGAGTCAGTTGCCAGGGGAACCAACCAAGTGATTAGAGAGTTGGAGCTTTCAGTTCCACCCCCTTACACCCAGGGAGGGGAGGGGGCTAGATGTTGAGTAGATAACAAATGACCAATGATTTACTCAATCATGTCTATGTCTCCATAAAAAAGCCCAAAAAGAGTGGGCTCAGAGACCTTCCATGTTGGGGAGCCAGAATCCTTCCATGTGCCACTGTGCCAGGCCCCAAACTCCTCAAGGACAGAAGCTTGTTTGTTTGGGACCTGACCTTATGTATTTCTTCTGCTGGCTGTTGATTTCTATCCTTTAATATCCTTTGTAATAAACCAGTAGTCTAGTGAGTAAACTGGTTTCCTGTGTTCTGTGAGTCATTCTAGCAAATTAATCAAACTCAAGGAAAGGGTTGTGAGAACCTCTGATTAGTAGCCAGTAGGTCAGAAGTACAGGCAACAACCTGGAGTTGCAATTGGTTCTGAAGTGGAGGGCAGTCTTGTGGGCTTGAAACTTAACCTGTTGAATCTGATGCTATCGCTGGGTAGATAGTGTCAAAACTTACTCAAATTTTAGGACACCCAACTGGTGTCAGAGAATTGCTTGGTGGTGTGGGGAAAAATCTCAACAAATCAGAATTGATGATCAGAAAAATTAGTCACAAAGCTAACAAGTTATGGACTGGGATTCAAACCCAGACCCTCTGGCTCCAGAATGTAGGATCTTAATACCTATGTTATGCTACATTTAGTGGTTCAACAATACAGTTCACATATTATCTTCTTTTTCATTTCCACAGAGACTCAAACTTGACTTAGGGGCAGATATTTGAAACTGAATGTATTAATTTATTCCCTCCTAGCTGGAGAAAAGGCACTCTCTGTACCGCAATGCCACTTTCCCATTGTGTATTATGTTCAATACAATAGACCAGTTTTGGCACCTTCAAGTGAGTCAGATTCAGTGAGCTGCATCTCCCTAGGGCCTCAGATCTTGATCTCTGCTGTTATTTTAATTTATTCACTCCTCCTTTGGGGACTCTGATGCCATTTCCCCATTCAAAGGCATGAGTAAAAGGGCAGGGAAGGATGTGTAGTACCATGGAAAGTACTGGGTGGTACCTGGAATGGAGACCAGCTTCCTCACTGACTGACTGACCCTTTTCTCTGAGCCTCAGCTTCTTCCTTTATGAGAATTAAAGTGCATTTAGAATTTACCAATCTAGCAATGGGTTTTGTGGACATTCTTTCTCAAAATAGAGTAAACACAGATCCTAAGTCACAAAATTAAATATTAAAAAGGATAGAATATGCAAAAATGCTTGTAAACTTTTAAACTATATACAAGTGTTACTGCCCAAAAAGGGGATTCATCTTCCCACCACAAGACATACCAATAGTCAAGAGGCAAGGTGGTAGGAGAGAGAGAGCTTTATTACAGCTTGCTATCAAGAGGGAAGATGGCTGACTCATGTACAAAAAAAACCCATCTTCTAGAACAAACACTACAGGCCAGTTATATAGAGGGCTGGTTTCTAAGTGGGGGAAGCATCTGGTCTCAAGGTGGGGACATCCACCTGATTACTGGGTGGAGGCAGCTGGTCTCAGAGTGGGAGCATCCGTCTGGTCTTAGTTCCTGGCAGTCTTTTGTTTTACTTGATATGCATCAGAGACTAGAGCAATGCCCAATATCTTGATCTTTCAGTTGTCATTGATGATGGCTATCAGCATAGACCCTCTGCCCAGGGGTCATCACATTCCTAAGGAACTCAAAAGAACAAAGTTATCAACTTACTGCAGCTGGGAGGGGCCATAAAGTCCAGAGTTAGTCAGAGGTCATCCAAAGTTGCAATATGGTTTCTTTTCTACAATATGGTTTCCCTTATGTCAACATTGTATTGAGCCGGTATCACAAGTACTAGTGACTACTAATAGTCATTACCATCCAGTTCTGTTACTGGACCAAAGTGAGTCCACTTCTTGGTGAGTTTAAATCAAGGCCTTCACCAGAAGTAGTTGTCACACAAAGTAAAATTTATTTTCAACAGGTAAAGAGACAACAGGGAATCCCTTCCAAAGCTGTACCTCCCAAGAAAGGGAAAACAGGGGCCTTTTATTTTGAAGGGGGAATGAATGTTCAAAAAGGAGAGGTGTATATGCACAGGCTTAGTTGGAAAAGGCTTAGTTGGAGAACATGTTTACACATACATCACACATTATGGTAATAAGGCCTAAACTCCCCCTGGGGTAGATATCTTAACAAATAATGAAGCAAATATAATCTCTTGGGCTCTTCTCCACCTGTTGCCCAGGCATATCACTTGCAGTGGGGTTTAGACCAATTCAGGGCGATTGGTGATTGTATCTTTTAAAATAACTAAGAAAACAACTTGGAGAAACAGTTAAGTTCTTCCAAAACATCCTTTGAGTTACTTGGGGCAATAAAGTGGTGACAGGTCCAGGACCAAGAACTAAGTAATAATCATTTCTATCTAATGTCAGATCATTAGAGAAGAACTGGGTACAAATTGATCCTCTGAGGTCAAAGATGAAGAACTGATCAGATAAAAAAAAAGTCCCATGGGACTCTTTACCTTCCTGTCATCATAATCCTGAAGACTATTAAGGCAGATTAGCGATTGCTATTTGGCCCAATGTGTAAAGCATAAAGAGCAATATGAGACAATCTAGTGGTTTTCACTGTATTTAAGTGACAAAAGAAACTTCTGAGATACACCTTACAAGTTTCATTTGTTGAAATTTGAAGAATCTACTTGGGAGTCATGCAAAACTTCCTGGGATTCTAAGCCAAGAAGCACATAGGACCCAAAAGCTGAGTGAGACATTTGGAACTTGGTAAGAGATCTCTATGGCTTTAGTAAGACCTCCATGGCCTTACTGTAAGGCCTCTGTGACTTTAGTGCGAGAATTTCTAACGCCTTAATGAGGAAGGTTTCTAGAACCCTGGTGTGAGATCCTCTGTGACTTTAGTGTGAGGTCACTGAGGCTGGCATTAACCTGACTCACTGAGGCTTAGCTTTGTGGACTTAATAGGTCTTGGGAAAGGTACTTAATGTTAGGGAAATAACACTTCAGTTCCTATGAAGTGCATAACAAGAAAAGTACAATTTCAGTGTCTAGCTTTATGAGCATTGGATGGACAGAACAATTTTTACTTCCTATGATGTTTCTTAGGAAGATCACAAGCCAAAACTTTCAAATGAAAAGGTAGCTAGATATGCAGAATACTACAAAACTCTGATAAAAGAAATCAAAGAATACTAGCTAAATAAGTGCAGAGATATTCTGTGTTCGTAGATTGAAAGACTCAATACTGATAAGATTTCAATTCTTCCCAACTTGATGTATAGATTCAATGCAATACCAATCAAAATTCCAGCAAGCTACTTTGTAGATATTTAAAAATACATTCAACACTTACAGAGAGAGCAAATGACCTAGACCAGCCAACATGTACTGAAGAAAAAGAA